GTCCTGCTGCTCTTGAGACGCTCCCACGCACTGGCTTGGCGAAGGTAACGGGTGGAGTTTCGGCAAGACTGCGTTACCGTTATGTAGAGACGCCATGTTCCTATAGCCCCGTATGAATACGAGGTTGTGTATACTTTGATATGGCAACATCTTCCAGATACTTAAAAACATTGATCGTGGGAGGTCTGGTGACGTGTCCTGCCGGCATCACTTCTGTCAGACCTCCCTATGAGGGACCATTATTTTACATTAAAACGTCTGTAGTTGATACAGCACAGCAAAATAACAGCCAATTTCTTGCGGCGAAGTTTGTACTCACCAAGTCATACAAGTAATGAGGCTGCAGTTACTTCTGTGAACTAATATGACCATGTTTTATTCCTTCTTTAACAGCAGAGGGCGACTGTCTTGCCGTCTACTTCATTTTCAGCCAAAGTGACTATTTCCGACAAGTTATTGGTACGATGTTCATGCCCCAGTGGGACACACAACTACACTCCTACCTGCCAGGCCTCATGACTCATGCCTGCCACAGCCTTCTTTATTGTCCTGTACGAGTTTCCATTCCTACCGTCGCCTGTGTTGCTACAAAAAGCATTTATTTATTTCTTCCTGGAAGACCAACCCTGTCAAGACACATACTCCACCACGTTCTAATGCTTTCTTTCTCTGTGGCCATAGAGAACAGAAGTCCAGCAACGCAGACACTTCTGTTGTTCTGTGCAGAGATGAGAACACAAAATAATGGAACGCGATCACCGTAATTCAATTATTTTCGGGGCTTATTCGATTACAGAGAGTGGAGGTGTGCCCCGAACTCTGTGAGCAGTGTTGAAATTGTTACAGAAACGCGCCCATTAGTTTTCTCCAGAAGCTGATGATTCACAAGTTGTGTCACCCGTTGTGACGTTAGTCAGCTGTCACGAGCCATGCGTGCAACAGCGAACTACAAGGCACTGCGACCGGTTATACAAGAAAATGGAATGTTTTGACAAGCAGTTTTCCTTTGCGTTCGTTTAAAGAAGAACGCCGCATTGAATGGTAAAGTTCTGGAGCCGTTTTTTTTTCCTTGGCACTACAGCCCCAGTGGGCCTAGGCCTACCCCTATGAACTTCTCCGTTCACTTCGGTTTTTCTAGATCTTACACATTCGGTAGGACTCCTTGGACGGATGATCAGCTCGTCGCAAGGCCTCTACCTGTACACAAACAGAAAAACGCACACAAACATCCATGCCCTGAGTGGGATTCGAACCCACGATCCCGGTTTCCAAGCGAGCGAATAGAGTACATGCCTGAGACCGCTCGGCTACCGTGACCGGTGGAGCCGTTATTTACGTGCATAAATTCTGCGGAACATTACATTCTCATTGCAGAAGTTTAAAAGTAAGGAAAGGAAAAGAGACACTAAGTCGCTTTCCATCTTTCCCAATTCATTATTCACTGATCATCCTGCCATGCGGCACTATGTAATCTGAGCTATTGGTTGCATCGTTAAGTAAATCAGCAAACAAATATCTTGAATGTGACTACGAAGAGTAGAATTTTTTGGGATGTGACGCCATGTAGTGTAATAATTTACAGATGTTTCAGTGGGACATTCTGTCTCCATCGTCAGGATTGAAGAGCAAACCATTTGAGCACAATGCGCAGACGTAGCACTGAGAAGTAACCCAGAGGGAGCCAATAGGAGCCGAGGAGAAGGCTAACTATTTTTGACCCTCGTAAGGGCCGTGTTCGTGCAATTTAGTGACCGGAGGGCCAGCCAGCAGTAGCTACTGTTCGTCTTGCTCTTATTGGTTCCATTCGGGCTGCTCTTTAGGCCTGCATCTGAACCAGCTTCTACGTTTTGCTTCGACCCTGAAGACGAAGGCAGTACTTTCTTCCGAAACGTCGGTGAACATCTGTCGGACAATACGGCGGTACATCCCATAAGATGGTATTCCTCAAGAAGAAACAAACGTTTCGGTATATATTTAATATAATGTGAGGTTTATTTGGAGCAGCAATAGCTCAGCCAGTATAGCGACGGCGTTCAATTCCCGGCAGATGAAAGAGATTTTTCCTTCCTCAACAGCGTCCAGGTCTGTTCTGGCGGCCCGCCCAGCCTCCTAATCGGTGGGTATCGGGGGATTATCTCCGGGGATGAAGCGGACGGTGCGTGAATCTGACCACACCTCAATCTAGTGCCCAGATCAAAAATGCTGGCACTATACCTTCACTCCCCATACGTCTTCATGCTATGATGCTTAATTAATTAAGCACAGGGGCAACTTTGCCTTTACTTTGTGATTAACACAAACCGAAATTACACTCGACCGACAACTGTTGGTGCAGAACGCAGATAATAAATTTAGTCGATATCCGTCATGTGATGTAGGGAGGGCGAGGAACTGCCTCAAGTGGCGTGGCGACACGGCTCAGTCTGTGGTTCACTTCGCAGCGGAAGGCGATTGAGATCTCACCCCTCGCGTGTGTGAGGAGGGGTGGGGGTAGAGCGTGGGGTGGGCCTCCCAATTCATCTCGCTCTCCGTTCAGTACTTCTGCAAACAGGCGCTAGTCGCGTGACAATGTAATTAACAGTTGCCATGACAACGATCTGCGTGAGGGATAGCGTAAGAGGGTAGAGGTTTTATTCCTCGTTATATCGGGGCACTAACACCGTATCAGTTACAGGTGGAACACGAGGCTATTAATAAATGGAGACTCACTCAATCACACACCTCCGTATCCAGGCGGATGTGCCTTTTCGTAATTTATTGTTCCGCATCGTTCGCTCACTTGCGCATTCGACAGTGTTCATTTGTCTAAAGAAACCTCATTGTGATTAGTTAAATGTCTATTGAAAGTTCAGCGGATAGCTAGACCGTTCTCAACTCTGGTTACCGTTTGCACAGACGCTCTGAACTAGGAAAGTTCCAGAAAAATGTTTTGGTACAATAATAGTAGTAATGATGATGATGATGATGATGATACGAAGTATCTCCTTTGATAAATTTCGACACTGTAATACCGACTGAAGCAGAGTCGTTTGTTGCCTTTATCTTATATTGGAACTGAGGTCAGTTACAGACCTGGCCCTCCAGGTTAGGCAGTCTCGAATCTGAGACAGTAAAATGTGATCGTGAGTCCCGCGGGACTCGGACCCGAGAAGGATGCGCTAGCAAGGGCCAGCAACATATATAAAAGACAGACCCGTCTAGGGCTCGACACCAAGATTTATTGACTGGCTGACTGTCAGTCGCAGTGTCACTTTGACTTTGTTGACTTCATAATTTCGTTATGTAATCACAAATACACGGGACTTGGGAAGCTATATGCAACTCGCGGACCGGTATGCACTTTGGAAATTTGAAAAGTTTACGGAGAACCTCGTTTTGCAAACTCTACAATTTCAAAAGCTGGACATCTTCTGCAAATCTCCAGGCGGGTCAAGCATAAGTCATTACTGATCTAATTAGTGCTTTATGGACGGTTAACTTAATGTTAGCGCTTAAACGCTCACTTTCGAATAGGGAATAAACTGTAATAAATGTGCTGAAGGCCTTGGCTTCGATCGTTCATACGTAAATCTCCATAAAATTTTCTTGTCGAAAATCAAAGAGGCGTGTTACATGGCTGTAAGAGATGGCAGCACACGCTCCAGTCACTGATATAATCAAATCTCAGGCAAACTGAGACCAGAAAAGCCACAGCTGTGAGTGTCGTGCATCATGTGTGGTATAGAGATTGTTAATCACTGGAATCACCTCTGTTGCCCTATATCTAGTGAATTTAATCACAATTAATTGATCCTGTAGGAAGAGCAAAGACAGGTGACGGCTTGTACTCAGGAATTCAGTCATCCGGTGGCTGCGAAATACAAATCGCTCTGTCTCAGTCAGTCTAATTGCCTATACATCAACTCGGCCTGCATAAATAAATTGAAGCGAACGGCGATTGTGGTTGCCATGACTACCCTCCCCTGTCTTGGCACTAGTGGATACGTTCGTGGGGCACAGCTGAGCTCATCTGTCCGTACCGAGCTGCAAGATCGCGTGGTGGCACTCGTGCTCCGTGCTCAGGAGACCTCGGGTTCATATCTTGACCTGGAAACCTGTTATTCACATCCTCTCCAAATGCCGGAGTTACTTCACGACCACTTCATCTGACCCTACCCTCCAGAGATACGTAACGTTGCGTAGACGCTTGAATAAATTTGCCTCTTTTTTGGCAAAGTAGTTGCCATGTACATAGTTGACAGTACGATAACAAAGGCTGCAACCTTCTCCTTTCGGAACTGTGCCTAGTCATTATTAATTTATGATCAAGCTCCTAATTCATCTCACCGTATGCAAAAGACGTCCTTGGTCATAGTAACTGAACTTTAGAGTAAATAGCATGTAAAAATTGAGTTTGCTTTCTGTTTGGGGCCTGCGGTAGCGTAGTTGGTTGAGGCACTACGCTACAAACCGGAACCCTGTCACGTCTTCACTGCCGTTGCTTCATAGCGGTTTCCAACGGCGGACGTTCCCCTTCCTGTGGGTTCCCGAACTGTCCCAAAACTCCTCTACCAGCTTCTCACAGCAACAGCTCACAATGACTGAATCCTAGCAGCAATCTAACTCACTAACTCACCAAGCAACAACTATCTATAGCTCCTGACTTGTCCTGCTTATAACATCTCGGCACGGACCGCACAGAAAACATCTTCCCTCTGTTGCTGTTTAAGGGCCCCTGCTTACTAACAACCGTTGTATAGTTGCTTGTTTCACGGTCACGCTCTCCAAAGGGTCTACATGTCATAATACAGTAACATACAGTCGGTACAGCGACTGACTTGCGTGCTGGAAGGCCGGTGTTCGAATCCCGGCAGGGCAAGTTTTTCTCTTCTTTACTGCGTGTAGACCGGTTCTGGTGGACAGAATAGAGAACTTCTGAATGTTTAAACAAATGGTACGTAAAGTTACCACTGTGTTATAAAAGATAGAAGATATCAAGAGAATAATGGTTTGTGTTGCAGGTTGCAGTGGACTCCTCCAGCGACGCGACTTCAAAGTCTCCCGCCGCTTCTCCCGCCAGAGACCGCAAGTGAGTACACCGTCTGTTGCAGTGCAAATATTTGCCGAGCGTGTCGCTACTGTAGCAGTAATGATCCTATTAACACTTCATCGTTTGGTGAAACGAAGTCAGACATGCCCTTTGCTTAAGTAAAGAGATCTGAACGTAGGAGTCACGCTGAGAATATCTGCGGACAAAGTCGTCACCGCTTTACATTTGAGGTTTTCACGGGGATGTGACACCGTGTAGTGTGGTAGAGGTTTAAAAAACGTGTCGGAAGAACTTATTGCTCCAGTGTCGAAGAGTAAACAAAGCAAGCAGAACTTAGTTACAGAATGAGAAGTCGGTTATGGTTTAAGTAAAGACGTCGTTCGTAGCTCAGGATACGTAGTGTTGAATGATGGCTTATGGAGAATTATTGATAGAAAATGACGAGCAAGAGAGCCGTCGTGGGATAATGTAAGCTGTTACGCCAGCTTCTTCCTGGAGAGACTGGGGAAAACCTGAAAGTAGCGACGTAGTCGTGTACCCTAGCCAAGATTCGACCCCAGAAACTTCCGAACCCATGCTAAATGTGCGGTGTGAACTCACATCGGTGCGTGTGAGAAGTGCTATCTTATGATACATACACGTGTATTATACTATTCTTTGCACTACAAGTTTATTGACTTTTCGGAGGAACCTGCTTCCTCCATTTTTAGGGTCTCACAGAAAACTAAACAAGCAACCAGCAAGAAAAAAGCAGACCGTCTGTCTGGGCTTCTTGCTTCGCTTACTCTCTCTGCCCTGAAGATGGAAGCAATACTTTTCTCCAAAACGTTTGTAAATTTCTGTCAGGCTACACGGCATTGCATCCCAGAGAATAGAAACTTGCGAAGTTTTAATAATTACTGTATTACGTTAATAAGGTCGCGCTAACATTTAAATATTTGAAAATCTTTATACACACATTTTTATAATTGAGAGGTGAAAAAGGTAAAGCTATCCCTGTAGCAGGCGGTGGAGACCCATCTATTTGTAAGACGTCGAGGCTCCCAATTTTTCTAGACAATCGACTCACAGATAGCGGTGAGGTTGTCAGCCTTACGAACCGGCCGCCCTTTAGCCCCACGAAAATTCCTGGTACTCATTTCTGTTAGAGGGTGAGTCGACCCCAAGGCGGCTAGAAGGATTAGGTCAAATGAATCCCATGATCTAGCTGGGAATCGAACCCGCGACCTTCCGGCTTGTAGCATATGAAGAAGCTAAACGAGTAACAAGAAGATGTTGGGATGATGGTATCAAGGTTAATGATATGGCCGGCGGAGCAATGAAAAATATATGTAAATTTCATTTGCGGAACCTAAAGAAGGTAGTCCAATTCCAAAACAGTGGAATAGAAAGTATAATATTAAAATTGATCTTCAAGGAATATGGCGTCGATTAGATTCATGTGACTCTGGATACGGTCCAGTGGCGAGGTTTTGTGAAAAAATAAGAACATTCGGAATGCTTGAAGAGGGGGGAAGATATTTGACAAGCTGGCTGACCACTGAAAGTAAAAAAAAAAAAAACCCAAGTGCCTAACGTTCGGAGAGAGGGCTGAGATCGCATTCGGAAAGTCACGCGGCACTTCCAGGGCTGTTCTGCTCTACACGTGGCCAAGAGCTATTAGGTCTGCGCTGGGTAACAGCGAACAGAAGTTCAGGCGGTTAGTCACTGGCTTCCCGGGTTCTGCCCTAAATCCAGTCATGTGGGACAAAGTAGCAGTGGGGCAGATTTTCTCCGAGTACCTCGGTTTTCCCTGCCAATTCTCATTCCACCGGCTGCTCTACACTCATCTATCATCCGGTGCTGGTACAGTAGCCACAGTAGTGGACTCAGTCTTACCCCACGAAATAATAATAGCGACTCCGGTATAGCGACTGGCAGCGGTCGGGGTTCTATTCCTGGAAGAGGAAAAAGACTTTTTCTTCTTCAGAGCGTCCAGACCGGCTCTGGGGCTCACCTATCTACCTGTGCAATGCGTTCCGGGGATGTTTCCCCAGGGGTAAAGCGGCCGGGGCTTGAAGGTGACCTCTCAACGTCTTCTAGTGCCGAGGTCAAGAATGATGGAGCTATACCTCCATTCTCCCTTAGGTATTCATGGCGTAGTGCTTAACTAATTAGTCACATGGCCAACGTTTTCTTTTTTAAGCTTTACCTATTTTTCTTTTTTATTATACAAGTATATTGGCATCAAGACAGCTTCAGGGACCGGATTCAGAAGATATGTGTATTCGAGGTGAAATACAAATTGCCGGGTTTACCAGGGACCCCAAGGATTAACGCGTACTGCAAGCCTCTCGGCTGTCAATCGGAAGTAGGCGCCTTGTCTGTATGTAAATGTTGTGACGAGCTGCCTAACCAGATGGAGACGTCATCACTTCAGGGGAAAGCAGCGGGAACGTCTTGTCGTTTGTAGATTTGATTTGTGTATGTGCAGCGTGAGACTTTGGAGCTGCGCGCGCATGTCAGCAGATGCCTCTGGATGTGCAGGTCTTCAACTGACTTGACTCCATGGTGCAGAATTCTCGACGGGAAGTTCATGGTTTTTCATTAGGACATTGATTGTTCTACTTAAGGGTTTCGTGGTTTTCGTAAGTCTCACCAAACAAATGGCGGAATAATACGTCAAATTAAGCCACGATCACTTCCTTACAAATCCCTTCCAATACAGTATTCACTAATCAACCTACCATTCGGCGCTGTATAATCTGAGCTACCGACAACGTCGTTAAGTGTTACCTATATGTACCACGTGCTTTAACGCAATAAAACTTTGTCTTGTGTCCACAGAGCTTATTTGTGTGTTCCGTATGGTTCTCACAATAAACAGCGACTGTTTCCCTAAACAGCCTTAACCGGTTGGGCCTGGTAGCGGAGACGTAATGAGTTTCCTGTGAGGTACGGTCTGGATCTTTATATATCATTTAGATGAGCGCCAGATTTACATTAACCTGTTGCTGCGTAACCTAACGGCCCCTCGCTCTTTCTGCTTATTATGGATCGTCTTTGGTGCGAGCATGTTGACCATTATGTAGCTGTGACATGTATTGTTGTGCAGATTTCGGTCTGTAAGGGGACGCTAGTGATGGAAGATAACAGAGGTCTTTGATAACGAACAGGTAAAGCGACACACAATGCGGGTATAGGAACAGGTGCCTTGTGAGACAATGTATAAAATGCAGTCCTTTCTCTGATACTGGACTGCTTATCGTAAATGAAATAAAACAGATGTGAGCTAGACAAGACAGAGGGACACGTGTTTCAAACGTCACAGCTAATTGGACAGTCCTGCTGTTCCGTATTAGGCGGGTTCAGGGTTCAGATCACGCCCGGAGTAAAGTGTACATTGAGAGATCGAAACTTTCTGTCTCTTTTAATAGGCCACCACCGCTTCTCTTCCTCTCTGTTTCTCGTTCATTATCGTCGCACTAAGCAGGCTAATGAAACCGACTTGTATTCTAAGGTTCCAACTTCGAACCCAGGATAGGAGAGCACGTTATCTTGGCAAGTTTTTCGTGTTATATTTAGCGTTTGAAATCTTCACAGTTACACTTTTTTAAGATCACTGGAATAAGGAGCCATCCGCTGTAACAAATTTTCTCAGTCTGGATAGCTTCTTATTTAAATAATTTTCTTGGTTTACCTCAGCCACTTTTACTCAGTTTATCCGGAAAGATGCTGGAATAGTAGCTCAAACTACACCGCGATCGCTTCCTTCCGCATCCTTTCAAATTCATCATATATTCATTGTCCTGCCATCTGGCCTTATTGCTTGAAGCGCCGCTACATAAATGATAAGTGAATACGTTTCAATGCCACTTGAACCAGGAAACTTACAGGCGTCGTTAAATAAACGAGGTAGCATCCAGCATTCAAAATGAGTGAAAACAGCCATGCCACAATCACGACTGGGAATTACTCTTGACGCCAGCACGAGACAGGCATGTGGCCGCTTTGATAACCCGCTCAGGTTTCTCCTGTGTGGGTGGAGGCAACTCCCCACCCCTTGCGGGCGGAGAGCAACCCGCAGAGCACAGGATCACGGCACGACTATTGTACAATGCACGGGCTCGGGAGTTCCGTGCGACAGAGAGGGCATGCTGCTGCACTGGTATGTGCTTTGTTTATTCATTATTACACACCGTGCATTCGTACAGCGTCTCTTTATTCTCTCGTTAACAGGTCTTTCCTCTCGTCTTTCTGGCCTCTTTGACTTTGCAACTTCTCAGTAGGAAACAAATTTAATGTAACATAAAATTTACGTATTTGCTGTATGTTGTTGTGCTCCATTACGGCTTGAACCAAATATTGTCAGCTTTACCTTAGGCTGGCGTTTCTACTCATGTTCCATCTCCGTTCAGTCTGATTCTCATATAAAAAGTACAGGTTGCCCGAACTTTAAGCCGGAAATAACACCAAAAAAAGTTCTTTAGTCAATTCGCGTCTTTGCTAATGACCTTTAATTAAGTCCTTTAAGTTACAATGGTAATTTATATGCACCTCCTGTTTTAACATACTGAAACTCTGCATTCTGCCCACAGAGTGTATCTGTGTGTTCCGTATGGTTCTCACAATAAACAGCGACTGTTTCCCTAAACAGCATTAACCGGTTGGGCTTTGTAGCAGAGACGTAATGTGCTTCCTGTGAGGTACGGACTGAGTTTTCTGCCCACAGAGTGTATTTGTGTGTTCCGTATGGTTCTCACAATAAACAGCGACTGTTTCCCTAAACAGCATTAACCGGTTGGGCTTTGTAGCGGAGACGCAATGTGTTTCCTGTGAGGCACGAACTGAGTTTTCTGCCCACAGAGTGTATTTGTGTGTTCCATTTCACATTGGATGTCGAAGCTGTTCCTTGAGTGGAAAGCAACAGGGCGCCTAGTCACATGAACATCAGCACGAGCCTATCTAAACACCCTGTAGCACCAGCGCACCGCGAGCGGTGCATGCATTATTTATGTGGTGAAACCGCGACTTGGGGTTCAATAGTTTAATTACTTGCT